AGGCCCTCAAAGTTATTTGACCCGGTGGTTATACGTCAAACTAAATGATAGCTCACTAGCGCCACCATCAATCTCATAAGTGTTACAAGATCCTTTTATACCGTAGCTGGCTTGTCCGACACATAGCTGCATATAACATATTTTCTAAGGTAAAATGAGAAAAATTTGGACTTCCCTAACATTTTTTATCTACGAATTTTAGCATAAAACCAGTTTTACACGTCCAAATATTTAATCGTGGGGACTTTGGCAAACTATTGTCAATTAACTGTTATAAATTATAAACATAAAAGTACATGGTAAACCTTCAACAGGATTTAAAGACCTTTTTACCTGAGCTTTGTCAATAAGCAACGGTACAAAATAAGGACGGCGTTATTCGCTCTTAAACAATTTGACATACTTTCTCTTTACTGGATCGTAAATTGAAGATTCGGATATTAAAAAATCAAGCATCTGATTTCTTTAAAAAACACATGAACTTTTCATCTGTTTATTCAAAATAAATTAAAGTTACTTTATGCTTAAAACGTTTTTTTTAAGTTTATTTTTCAACTTTTATTTCATGCTAGCTGTTCCTATGCGGCTTCATCCGCAGGTAATTATAAAAACTCCATTTTATCCTTTACATTTGTTAATTTCTCAATTGCAAACGTCAAAATGACATGACATGATGACAATCTATGGCAATCTTGCTTCCTTGATGTTGGCAGCAACTTATGGTCTCTTTCCCACATTACGATTTTTATCCAATTTATTTACCAACTAAGTTTAATAGCTTGAAAATATATAGCCTAAAGCGTGAAGTAAGTGCAGGGCTTTATATTAAAAAAATAATTATTCAAAAATATGCTGTAATTGCTGACATCTTAGGCAACAAAGAAGTGAGTATTTACGCTTAATTATAATAAGTATGGATTAGTAACAATTTAACCATTTTTATCCCAAAATGTTTCAAGCCCTATGAAATTTAATTGATATGTGTTCATAAGTAAATATAAGTATGTATATTTATATAATATATCATTAATAATAGTGATATAAAATACCATAACAAATATGTACGAATGTTCGTTAATAATTGAATATTATGGGGCAATAAAATATCTTCGTGTCCGTCAAAGCGAGTCATAAATCATGAGTTTTATCGACTCTTTATGCAATGTATGTGTTTTGTTCGATTCCTCTGACGATGTGTTTATAGATTTACTATATGAAATTAACTGGTATTATTACATTTTAATTATGGTATAACATCGTGAAAACCACAATCCAATAAAGAGAATCTTTTCCATTGGTCAAGCTATTTTGTATACAGTATACAGGAGACCTAACGGACGGATAAACGGCTTTGTGGAGTTATAGGACCTCAATAGCTATAATTTAAACGCAAAGTCTGTTGCCTGATTTTCTATAGTTTTAAAATTATTGTTTTTTTTGGGAAAAAATTGTATGAAATCTGATTTCCGGCTAAGATTTGTTGGTACGTCCAAAATAATGTGTTTACAGTGGTAATTTTTTTCTTTAACAAGTCTAATAATTGGGCTTTCGTATCGTTATACCTTTTTGTTGGAATATGTAATTCATAAACATACCCCTATTAAAACTGCCTTCATGTCAGTCGGACATAAACGTAAGAGCACAGTAAATAATCATAACTAAGTGTTGACCGTTTATTATTTATGTGGTGTGTAAATATTTTGAAATCAATCGATTCAGTGAACACAAATCATCCGTGGAGTTCGCTAATCGAGTTAACAGTATACGTAACTTCCTCACAATGATCACCGTTAGAAACACTTCAAACATCATAGCATCTATTACGAACAATTGCGTGACAGTTATCAGAACGTATTCGTATCGTCATCTACAAAGTTTGTAGCGCTGCACAAATCTAATTCAAGCCTTGTAGATGACGTTACGAAAACATTCTCACGAATATTAAAGATAAGCCCTCAGAGTAACTGAGTGACTAGTCAATAGAAGCACGTTTGCAAACAAAACAATTTGTAGCGGTCATATTCATTTACAGACACGCCGAGATGTCTACATAAAACCAGTAACACATAGATACATAGATTACAACACATCATATGTAGGCTACTAGCTGTTGCTCGCGACTTAGCCCGCATATAATAAAAAAATATAGCATATGATACTCACAGACAAATTACCTTTTAAACGGTGAAAGAATTTTTAAAATAGGCTAAGTAGTTTTTGAGTTATTTCAATACATCTATACTATTATAATAATCTATAGTATTATAATAAAGCGTAAACACACACTTCTTTGTTGCCTAAGATGTCAGCAATTACACCATATTTTTGAATAATTCTTTTTTTAATAATAAGCCTTACACTTACGTCACGCTTTAGGCTATATATTTTCACGCCATTAAACTTAGAAGGTAAATATTTTTAATAAAAACGCTAATGTGGGATAGAGACCATAAGTTACTGCCAACATCAAGAAAGAAAGCTTGCTAAGGTTTGTCATGTCAAGTCATTTTGACATTTGCTATTGATAATTTGACAAATGTAAACAATAAAATAAAATTTTGATAATTCCATGCGGATATGATGACTGCGAAACAATCGACAATCGCACAATAGTTGTTCGATAGTCATAGATGTGAGCCAACTTTAATTAGTTATTTTACGGAATTTTCCGCTTTTCTCATTTCCTCCCTCAATTCGATTGTCTGTTACAAACAATTATTGCCGTCATATTTTGCATGGACGATAAGCCAAAAGTATTTTGCTCTAATTGATTCCTTATTCATTAGAATAACAAAGACATTGTCCTCATTATTTGTGAAATCCATACACTTTTAAATGCCTTCCATAATATTCGGTCCTGTATTTTTTGCATCGAACGAGTTCTTGCGGTCCGTATGAGGTCATCGGTGCATTTTACAGGATTACTAAGTAATAAAACAAAAAGTCAAAAAGCATTGAATTTTAATGAGAAAAAATAATGAAATATTAAAGCATCCGGTTTCTTATGAGATAATTTTCTGACCGGTCGTAACATTCGTAAATGATGCTAATTATTTCGCCTTATATGGTATTAATATCCCACTTTAGTGACTTAGGGTTGACAAAAAAAAAATAAAGCTTCTTTATTGGACAAAACATTTTTGCAAAATTTCGCACATTGTCAGAAAAGTTTGTCGCACTATATTTACACTCTTTTAAAATATATTTTCATATTTAAACTTTAATATATAAGCATAAGAAAATACTAAATAGTCCACATAAATTAAACTACTTTATAACATAATAATAAAATAATAAATTATTCAAATAATACTTCAGCGTAGATCTGAAGCGAAAAACGGGTTTAATTTTTTTGCAAGATTTTTGTAATAAGTAGATGTGTGAATTAATAATTAAAACAGGTTAACTTAAAATCGGATGTTTTTAAATTTCATACATGTTAATGTGTGAATACATTGAAAATATCTGTTGCCCGCGACTTCGTCCACGCCAAAAAGTAACCTATAATATGCCCGTCTATGTCAGCTACCCTTCAGTGATAAAACGTGAAATCGGCCCAGTCGTTTCGGAGATTACCCGGAACAAACGCGGCTTGCGGACAGACAAAAAAAAATAAATCCGATTTTCGTTATCAGCAACTCAAATGCATCATCTTCCCGAAATCTGGAATTTTTCTTTGACATTACAAATAGACATTCCAATGTTATTATTATGTATAAATAGATTATTCAGCTTTTAAATTATGGTATCTTTTTACTAAATTACTATTACTGTTCAACAAGATATCGTTAAAATTATCTCAATCTCGAAATCGATTCGTACTAAACTCAAGTCTAATTACTCAAGTTTCATATTCTAGGTTATATTACGACTTAGTAGAAAACATTGTCTTTGTACTATTGAAATTTTATGTCTTTAACACGAACTCGAAGTAATTTGCTACAGGAAAGACACACATGACAGCGCGTGTTATAAAATGGCGCACCGTTATAAATTGTACAACTTTAAAATATTGTTGAGGAAACTCACCTGTTATTATAATCATAAAGCAATAAAAGCTCGCTGGGAATATTTTATTACGACTTTATAATTATATAGTTATATATTTAAAAAGGAAAATATAAAACTATTAAATATTACCTACGCTTGTAAGTTGCCGTTTCTTTTTTGTTTGTAATGTATGACAGGAATCCTATGACGATTCCTATTTTTTTTACTAGCTTTTGCACGCGACTACGTCCGCGTGGAATTAGAAAAATCAAAAGTGAGTAGGGTATGTGTTCTTCCAGACCATATTTGACACCTGTACCAAATTTCATCGAATTCCGTTCAGCCGTTTAGGCTACAAACTAACAAACATCCTTCCATCCATCTAAACTTTCGCATTTCTAATATTAGTATAATGTTGTCCAAATTGTATGGTTGTCTAAAAATCAACAATCAGTCGAGCAAAACGATCTTTTAAAACCGTAACGACCATTGATATTGACCATTGATGGTCGCTAAATTCCTTTAAAAATTATTTCAATTAAACTTGTTACAATTACGGACAAAAAATATACAAAAACACTAACAGACTCAAGTCTGATCCGGAATTACCGGACTCAAAACAAGATTTTAATTTTTAAATTACCTGCTGTAAACATTCAGGTATACATTTCAACCTGATTTTATCAGAAAAAAAAACAAATTGAATACGTAATTATTTTAATACGGAATTGCAGTGGATATTTTGATTTAGCATATCAGAGCGCGCAAAGGTGCTCTTTGACTAAATTATCGTAGAACTGTTTAGTCGCGCTTTAATTCCTATGAGCTTATATGGAGGTGTGCACACTACCCGATTTTACTTGTGCAACTGAACAGTCAAATTTGATGCGTAACAATCGACAATCGCACAACAGTTTGCGATAGTTTTGTCAAAGGCGTACGCCCGCTCTAAGTATCTGTGTTAATAACCGTTTATAAAAAGTACTTCCAATATTTTTTTTCCTTTTCAGAAACAAAGACGATCCTCAAACAAGTATCTGGCGTGTTCAAGTCAGGTCAGCTGACGGCAATCATGGGCCCCTCGGGCGCCGGCAAGTCCTCCCTCATGAACGCACTTACCGGTTTCTCGTGAGTATATCGGCCCTTACGATTACCCGTAACTTGGTTTTTTAAGAAAAAATACTTTTGTAACTTTTAAAACTTTGCTATATAAAACAGAATCATAACAAACATCTCTGCTAACCACGAAAGAGGAGATTATAAAAAAACAACTACATATCCCTCAAACACAAATTCAAATACTTATTTTGTTAATGTTATGTGATTTTGGATAGTCTTCATATAGGAAAACTTCTACTTTGTCTCTTTCGCAACTAAAAGTGTATTTTTTGTGTTATGACTACATAAGTAGGAGCCGTCGAAGTTCGAAATTCGAAAATTTAATCATTCAGCGATTACATTCGGAGAAATAATTTAAAAAATATGTTCTTTTTTTAATCACCATGACCACTTTTTAAATTGAGGTACATTTTATCTGGCTTTTGTTTTGTGTTTTTCATTCCATTTTTAAGTGAAACTCGTTTGCCCTAATTTGCATAATCTTTTACTTAAGACGGGTACTGAGTTTTGGTTAGGGCGCAGTTGAGCGAACTCCCAGGACAGAAAAGGGCGCCACACTCTCACGTGACTGTTAAAAAATTAAAACAAGGCAATATTTCTGTAAGTTGAATACTGAGAATTTCCGCGGCTGTACATACCGTATAAAACCTATAATAATTATATAATAAATGTCATTTTTTCATTGACGTTAATTTCTAGGTTATTCTATTTATTGCATCATAGCTGCATAATATGTACGTATTTATATGCGCAAATTAAACTATTTTACTATATCTTAATAATTTAAATTGATGAACAGTGTTGAAACAGTAAATGAGTCGCCGCACATCTATGACTAATCTATCGCACAACTTTAGTGCGATTGTCGATTGTTTCGCGGCCAATTCAACTGTTTAGTTGCACAACTAAAAATCGAGTGGTGTGCGCTCCTCCATATAACCTCATAGGAATCTCAAAGCGCTAACAGTTGTGCGATTGTTTAGTCAAAGGCGTGCGCGTTCTGTAATAATAAATACACGGTAAACATTTGTCTTACGGATCTCATACTCACAAATATGTACGATCATAATTTATGTTGGATCTAGTTGTAAACAACTAGGGTTGTCAACAAAAAATGACAGTATTTTATTGATTAATTTAACAATTATGTTTTATTTTTTACTATACCTAAAATAGGTAAGAACCACTTTACGAAAAAGACACTTAAACATGTATGAATGGCATTGTAAATATACATAAGTGTGTCTTATAAGACCTTGGAACTTTGTCCTATTAAGTTGTTTTTCCTAACGATTAAGTACGAAACGTATTACTCGTACACACATATGTATATAGTTGGTCAATTGACTATTATTTTTTAATTTAAATTGAGATTAAACATTTTTTTTGGATAACATTTACGAATGTTTAATTATTATAATAGATAACTCTTATATATTTTATGGATTATATTTTTATTAATAGTTGGAAACCATAACTGGAACCATTACTTTTATTATTATAATATGGTAGCGGTAAGAGACATAAATAATTAAAAAAAACTTGCTCATTCGTCATGGTTAATTAACTTGTAATATCCATAAGTTTCTTATACCTTAAGCAATAAATTATATATCCAAGAATATATTTATAATCGATAGACATAAAGTAAATAAAATAGTTCAAAAGCTATAGATATATATTATATTTTGCTACACTTATCCTTATTTCAAACCACAATAAGTGTACAAACGTTTTATGTATTTGGTTTTCACAGTTTCGAGTGGTATTTAGGAAAGCAATAAATGAGTATAATACGTTATGTATACAGAATGTATGAATATTTAGCCACATTGCATACTGATCTCAAAACCTGTAATTAGTACGGTCTAATTTTCCACTTATAGGAGAATTTATAATTGTCTAGGCATCTCATCCGTAAACTTTTAATTTGTACGAGTAGTTATGAGCAGCGGTCACTTTGCCATTATATGATGTTGCCGCTAGATTTTTTATAAAACGAAAAATAAATCCCCGTCAACAGCTTACTATTGTCCCCACTGAGGGGCTCAGAGTCTATCCAAAGTTAGACGTGACTAGGCCATAGTCAACCACACTGGCCCAGTGCAGGTTGACTTCAAACATCTTTGAATTTCTTTGCCGATATGTACAGGTTCCATCACGATGTTTAACTATACCGTAAGAACGTCGAGTAAATTATGTACATATGAAATTCGAAAATCACATTGATAGCGAGATTCGAACCCACGACCTGTAGATTAGAAGTCAAGTGTTTAAAGCCCTGAGTCACAATCATCTTTAAAGAAATAATAAAATGCTTATTCAATATACCTGTTTGCAACTGTATACTTGGCAGCATTCTATTTGGAACAAATACATTCAATATTATAAGCCTACGTAGGTGCATTTATTTACATGTATTTATGCAATTCGTAAAGGTAAATCTCATTAGGCTTTTTATATATTGCCGTCGTTTGCATTTTTTATTCAAACGCATGCATAAATTAATTAAAGGATTTCTACGGGTTTTTCTTATCACCACGTTGATCAAGTCTCGTTAAAAGAACTCATTGTTAATTTCTATGCATAAAATCATAATTGCATTTTAATTGGTTCTTCAGGTTTTACTTATTTATTTTTGGTGTCATAAACACCAATTTCTGTTACACTTCCAATGTTTTAAAAAAAAACTAAAATGTGGAAAAAAATAGATTCATAAAGACCTTTCGCTGGGTTCGAATCATAACTTTACTATCTACAATATCGGTGTCCGGAGTAGCGGCACAACACTAGATCAATGCCATACACGTCCCTATGACATCTGTCAATGTCATTCAGTAGTATATAAGCGCGCCAATTTTGACGGGAATCGGTGCACTGATTATTGAAGTAGATTTACGTTGTTACAATTATATTGTCTTTAAATAGTGAGAACACACTGTTAGACAATAATCTTTGTATTGATCAGATAATTGGTTTTCATTGACGCAAAATTATTAAAAAACACAACTACATTTAAATTCAATCATTTTTGTTTCAGGGTTCAAGGAGTAACAGGTACGATACGAGCGGGTAACAGTGTTTGCGTTTTGGACGAGAAGGCCAAGTCTATCGACTCCCTAACCGCGTATAGAAAGAAGTCCTGTTATATCCTGCAAGATGACAGGTTAAACCCACTCTTTACGGTCGCTGAACTGATGAAATTCGCCTCAGATATGAAGCTTGGTTATACATTAACAGAAAAACTTAAACAAAGTGTGGTAAGTGGTTGTAATAATATTTGTACATTTGTTGAAGCGCCAATAGCCTATTGGTTAAGTTACGGACTAGATCATGGTTTCGAATCCCGCCATGTTATTATTGTTGCTAACTATATTCTAACAAATATTTTAAAGCAAAATTTGGTGTACAAAATCTTGTTACTATATCACAAAACATTTTACAAAATTACGTAAAAGGTTCTCAAAACCTTGGAATCTATTGTATACAAGTAAATTCTTTAATTATGTGTATATCAATTGTTTAAGTAGATTTAATTCTATTGTTAACAATATAATTGCGTCATTTTATACAATAAAAAATAAATGACTGTGTTTTAAGTTCATTGTTAAGTATTTAGTTTTTGTTGCTATGTTTAAACGCATTAAATATACAGTTTTCTAAACATTACTTTAACTTTGTATTAGCTCGTATGTTCATAATAATCAAGTAAATGTGACACTATTATTGCACTCAAGTATACATGTATTATAATCTTTACAGGTAACAGAAATATTGGATACATTAGGGTTGTCAGGCACGGAGAATACACGATGCTGCAATTTATCCGGGGGTCAGAGGAAAAGGTTATCCATAGCGGTTGAGTTGATCGACAACCCTCCTGTCTTGTTCTTGGATGAACCTACAACGTAAATATACCATTAATTTTATAAGTTAATTCTGCAAAAATGACAAAAGTCCACACCTTATACTTGCATGACTAAATTGGCTATTATTTCTAAGAATACAAACAATGATACAATTAAAAGACGCTAAGCAGAATCATGCTCCATGACGCCTTAGCCATAAACATTGATACCATAATTAATGGAATCCTCCAACAAAACATTCTTCTGTTGGCAAAAACAATCCCATTTTAAGTGTTATAAAGTATCATTGCTTTCCGAAAGAGATTTCCGTTTGATTTTAACTAACGGAATTGTCTAATTAAGATTACACACTTAACAAAATTACTTCTCGTACTGAAATAAATTTAATTGCAACTTAGTACCTGTTGATTTTTTTTTTATATAAACCTTGTCTAAATCCAAACAGCAATATAACATGCGTTGAAATATTACAATTAATTAATTCATATTTACATTGCAACGCATAATTTTCTAATAAATCACCGCAGTTAACAAAAGAAGTTAAGGTGAAGACAAACTATAAATCATTTACAACAAATATAATTTTATTAGATGGTATCTTAAACACATCACAGCTTATAATTCATTCCTAAATTGTGACTATTTCATTCATTCTTTATCATTCTTCATTCATCTATTCAATAAGTCATTCAATTGTAAGTGAATGTGTTCACAGTGGTCTGGACAGCTTGACGTCGAAGCAATGCGTGGAGATGCTTAAAGCATTGGCTCGCGACGGCCGGACCGTCGTCTGCACAATACACCAGCCATCGGCATCCCTCTACACATTGTTCGATCATGTTAGTAATCTTCCTATAGTGTTATTAATATGAGACGATCTTTAATTCGGAGAAACATTAGGTTAAAACGACTTCCATATAGCATATATATGGTTAGGCAAATTTGGACTACTTGTTACGCCATAATATGCCTATCCATGTCAACTACCCTCCAGTGAAAGTCCCGTCGAAATTGGCTCGTCTGTTTCGGAGATTACCCGGAACAAACGCGGCTTGCGGACATACAGACAGACAGAAAAAATGCGTTTTTGTTATCAGCAACGCAAATACATCATCTTGCCAAAATCTGGAATTTTTCCTTTGATATTACAAACAGACACTAGAATTTTATTATATGCATAGACTAGTGGTCTTGAAACATCAGTACCTAGGTTTTATAATTATGCCTACAACTTATGTTAAGGAAAGAATGAACTGAATGATTCAGCTCTCTTAAGAACAATGACGTGGTTTAATATTTTTACTCGAGATGCACTTAAAAAAACTATAAACATACTTGATAGTTCTTTAACAGGTGATAATTATCAAATATGTTTTTTACATTTTCGCACTGCTTTGCAACATTTGGTATGAGCATAAATCCGTCACTTAATTTGGCAAACAAACAAAATGTCGGCTACTGTATACTTGAATACAATGGAATCGGGGCCGGTGTTAAAGTAGGGCGCTGAATAGAAAGGGGCGACACAATTTTACGAATTACAATCTCATATAACCCTGTTTGTACCCCCAAAAAGTAGAACAAAAAGCAGGCGTCTATAAATCTTACCTAGGGCACTAGCAACGCTACAATAGACCAGTACTAGATGAAACAACTATGCTTGTATTATTACAAACTAGCTGTTTCTCGCGATTTCGTTAACGGGAAATAAAAAAAATAATAAGTAATATAGCCTATGTTACTCGGCGATAACGTAGCTTTTTAGTGGTCAAAGATTTTTTGAAATCGGCCCAGTAGTTTTAGAGTTATTACAATACATACAAAAATCCCAAAACACAAATTTTATATTAGTATGGATAAAGAATAATATATTATTATTACAAATAGACATTTTGTGTAACAGGTATACGTGTTAGCGGAA